AAGCTAAAGCCACTTTGGCATAAGTTTGATCCCTGCCTGCCCCGGAGGTGACCACATGGCGCGACAGACCTCTCCTGACCCGCCCGCTGCTCTCCTCAGCAGTGGACTTCGTCGATCAGCCTCTTCTGCTCCCAACTCTGTCTCTGGTGAAGCCTCTCACTGTCCCTGCATCTCTGGCCTGTACCCCAGTTCTGTGTGCATAAATAAATAAATCTTTAAAAAATAAAAATAAAAAATAAAAATTAGAACCAAGTCATCAACAAGATGGTGAGGTTTTAAGACCAAGAGGTGCCAGACAACAGTGTAGACCTCAAGGCCACGGCCTGGGGCAGCCTTGGGGATACAACCCCCCTCCGCCTTGCTGGTGGTCAGAGGCCCTCCCTTCTGCTGTCTGTTTGCACCTGCACAATGGGGCTAAAACTGCCCACCTGGTACAGCCCCCGGAATCAGGTGCCAGTGGAGGTGCTTAGAGCGAAGAGTGTCGGCACATAGAGGAAGTGCTCCAGAATCAAGCTCTTCCTCGCTATTTATTATTCCACGCATTTGCTGATGCGCAAGCGGGCAGACACTGGCCGGAGGCTGGGGTGCAGCAGCAGGGGGAGCCTGGCAGCCCAGCACGCGCGTGTGAGCCTCGGGTAGGTCATCCGCACTGACCGGGTGTGAGCCAGGGTCAGCGGTCAATATCCCGTCACTGTCATTTTCATGCAGAATCATTTTATACCCGCTCAGCTCCTGTGTGGGTATTAAAACAATTGTACTCTGCCTACTGAGACAATGCTCTCTGCCTCTAAAACGGGATCTAAACTTCCCAAGAGGGTGGATTTACTCCTGTCAGCTCCCAACAAGCCTGCCGCGGCTGGGCCAGGCTAGACAGTACACAGGGACACTCCTTGGCTCAGACATCAGAAGTTTTAGACTCTGGCCCCTCTGCGTCACCTGATCCGACCTTGGGCTCATCCTGGCCCCCCCACGTGGTCTCTGCTCCCCTTCAGAATCTAAATGCCCCCGTGGCGGGGCTGATTCCACCCCTGGCTTGATGCTAGCCTGAGCTGCTTCTTCCCAGTGCACATCATTTCCAAGCAAATACAGACTGGGAAGGAGGAAGAAGGACAGGCCACAAGGCGGAATATAGGAATATAGGAACTGGGTTTTGGACATCAAAATGGCGTCTCAGACGCCTGAAGTGACGTGATGCCTCTGTTGTAAGAGGAGCGAGGTCCCTCCAGTCCATGGAATATGCTGTGCAGGGTTTCCCAGTGTCAGTCATCGGGATAGTTATTTGAGCGTTAATTCTGAAGAGGGGCCTTTGTTGAGGACTTGAGCAAGCATTCTTGCTTACAGACCCATACAAATCAATCCGTGTAAAATTAAAAAATAATGCAATGTGCTCGAACACCGGGTCTTCCTGTACATTAAGTTCTCCACGTGAAACTTAGTTTTAATGCTTTTATTTTCATTAAAGGTTATTTATTTGCTCATTTATTTATAGAAGAACTGGGGTGCAGGCCAGAGGAACAGGAGGTGAGCGGATTCCCCAGAGACAGAGTAGGGAGCAGAACCGTCGGATCCCCTGAAACGCACTGCTGAGGAGAGCAGCTGGGAGGCAGGAGAGGTCTGCTGAGTGACCCTGGGGGTCACTCCCTGGAGGTCCATTTCAGCCTGCATGCTGATAGCTTGAGACTAACCCCTCCGCCACCAGGAGGCCTCTCTGCGTGGAACTTCTCCTGAGCCATGGCAATAGACAGATGTAGAAGCACTGTATTTTCAAACATTTTCATTCTTTTTTCCAGTCAACGGAGTCTTCCCTTCACGACGCAGCGCACAGCAGCAGAGAGGAAAGGTTCAGTCCAGGCCCAGCACTGGGTAAGGCAAGTCCAGTTAGCTGACACTCGAGAAATGGGGTAACTGCCTTTCTCTGCTGTGACCCCTGTTTCTGACTCAGCGCCTATCTGCTCTGTGCTTTGCATCAGGCAGCCTCTTCCCTGTCTGAAGATGGACTCCCTCCTGACACGAGAGCAGGAAGCCGGCCAGTTCTGGCCAGGCTGAGCCGCCTGCTGTTGGGACAGTCCCCACCAGCTTCAGGAGAGCTGGCTTTGTTCCATCAGGAGAGCTGTTCGTCTCCCCCTTTATTTATTTATTCTAGCATCATTTATTCAGTAATAGTAGCACGGGTTCCTGGTTCCATTTTCTCTAACAGGCTGCAGCTACGGTTATTACTTTGTTCTCACAGTGCCTCAGAGCCAGCCGGCCGGCCGGCCAGGGCCCTCTGGTCAGCTCTGGGGCCCTTTCGTCCCTCCAGCGAGATCACTTTCCTATTCCAGGCTTGCTTTGTGCTTTCCTGGCAAACCCTGGAACCAGCCTTTGTCCTCTTCACAGGGTGGGTGCGTAGAAACCAGGTTCTTCTGGCCACTCGACGCGTCCACTGCTTCTGGCCTCTGAACTCAGCCGGCTCTGCCATTTCGTTGCTGCAAACACATGTCTATGCAAAATACGCAGCTTCTGAAAGGTGGTGGCATACTCGTTTAACCAAATGCAACATCTGGGGGTTCTTCATAGCCTGCCCTCCCTGTATATAAACTCCTTCCCCAACACCAGAAACCCTGATTATGATCAACAGTTTACTAATGTGCCTGGAGCCCCTATAAGGAAGTCTCCTTGGCCCAGCCGTCCCTCCAGTGTCTAATGTCAAGGGAAAGAGAGACGAAGGTTGTCAGGCATTCTCTAGTGCCGACTCTCCATGGGTTTCAGCTGGAAAAATACGCAAGAGCTAAAGAGGTGGGGGCATCCTCTTTGGTTTGCCAAAGGTTTCCGTGCAGACCCCAGCTGGTGGCTCAGCCAGCGGGCTGCTCCTGGGGTCTCTGGTGGCTGAGAGACAGGCAGCCAGGAGCCTCCAAGTTGCCCCTGCCCCCCTGGCATCGACTCTGTAACAAGCCACGTCCCAGTGGCACAGATGCCTGTTTTCTGAAATGAATGTTAGGAAACAGTACACCAGAGACGAATTCTCCTGTCTTTCCTGTGTCTGCTTCTAACTGGGGGTAGCTGGGCACTCTGCCTGCCCCTCACTGCCGGGCTGTTTGTAGCATTGCGGGAGGAGAGAAGATGCGTGGTGTGGTGGTGGTGACACACAGACACTAACCTGAAGCTGGAAACACACTGAGATCCTGAGGGCAAGGGTGGGCTTCCATTCTGAGCAACCCACATTGGGTCCTGCGGCCTCTGAAAGAGCCAGGTAGAAGTTCCAGGGGGGTGAGTGAGAACCACCCCACAAATTGCTTTGGAGACTTGCTATGCCAGGAATTCTGGCCAAGGAAACTGTGGGTGGGAAAAGTTCTCCACCTCTGTAATTGCTAAGAAGCTGCGCAGTGTCAGAGGTAAGATCGCTGCTCCAGAAGGGCCAGGCAGGTGCTGATGCGCTGGGCTCTCCGTGCGCACCTGGAGGACACACAGAGACTCAGACGCCCAGTGACACAGTGGGTCCTGTCATCACCCACGACAACCGGAATAAACAGGAGGGAAATGACGCGCCCAGTATCCTTCCTATAGAGTTACCCATTCCAGAAGCAAACTGAGTCCCAGCCCTCGCCCTAATCAGAGCTCCTCACCCATTGAATGGGCAGCACCTGGGAGCCTGAAGAAACGCATGGCGGGCCCTACTGCAGGTGGGCTGAATCCGCACCGCAGGTGGGCTGAATCCGGACCGCAGGTGGGCTGAATCCGGACCGCAGGTGGGCTGAATCCGGACCGCAGGTGGGCTGATCAGGACTGCAGCCGAGTTTAGAAACCCCTGAGACTTCAACGCGCGCACAACCGGCCACCCTGCCCCAGATACTCCCGGGCTGGTGGCGCCTGGCCCCTGGCTGTGGGACGGGGGCCGTGGGGGCGCTCAGAGCAGGTCCCCAGCAAACGCAAAGGCTCTTCGCGAGAGCGCCGTGGACTGCTCTCGGTTTGAAGCGCAGAGGTCGATCCCGCGCTCACAGCGAGGTCAAGGGGTGCTTCCCCCTTCGCCTCCACCTAGACCCCAGGCGGGCCCGGCTGCGCTCGGGCCGCCAGAGGTCGCTGCGGCCCGCCCGGAGCGACGGGAGCGTGGCGAGCGGGCCGCGGCTTTGACATCACCCCAAGCTCCTCCTCGCGCGCACGCCTCGCACACAAACACAGGCAGACACGCCGGCCGCGCACTCCCCTGGCCGCGGGCTCGCTCCCCGCCGCCGGGCCCGAGAGCGCCCCGACCCGGACTTC